AAGCTCAATAAAACTATGGAAAGTGGCCCGTGGATCATCTCTACTTGACTATTTTGATTCACAGCCCGAGATCTCATGAAGCCAGGATGTTGGGAGGATTTTACAGCACGGAGGTCTTGTGGACACTGGTCACCTCACGGGTGTCAGGACATACGTACCACGAACCATGGAGCACGTCAAGGCCTTGTGGTTACCAAGTCAATGAGGACAGAGTAGTAGGGATGGCCGCTATCCAGGAGGAATACCGCCCGATTCACCCACAGTGCCTCAGTCACCAGAGGGTGGACTCAAACACTCCCTGCCACGGAAGTCCGCATTAGCTCTTCTAGAAACCCTTCAAGAACTGCAGAGGGCAGTGGTGAGAGGCATGAATTTTGGTGCAACACAGACGGTTTACTGCTTGAGCTGTCTGACCATGGGGGTGGTACTTACCCCATGTAAGTCTCAACGGCCTCATCTGTAAAATGGGAATAACCCTACTCCCTATCACTTCCGAATTTTCTAGCATTCACTGAGATTGTACACATGAGGGCCTGAGCACCGTTCCGGCCATGACCACCGACACCAGCGTCACCTCCACCATCACCCAGGGACTTCCCACAAATGGTAGAAAAAGAAACATGAACTCCTCAGAAGCCCAGGATCCCAACAGTGACAAAAGCGACATCTTTTCTGTCCTCAGCATTCTGGGTTGATGTTGAATCATCCTCGGAGAGAGTCATGAAGGGAGAGACCTCAGGAAGTTGTGTGATCCGGCTCTCTGTCCCTTAAGATGTGCGACTGTGGTCTATTTTCCTGATAGGCCCTGCACGGAGAGTAAAGGGCCTGATAATCCAGATTTTAGGGGCAACACCGGCCAAGCAGGGCTGGAGGCGTCTTTGTTGTAGAGTCTGGGACTTCGCCCCATGGCTTATGCACAACCAAGGAGATGGGAAACCTTTGCGGTAAAGTTCTCAAACTCAGCTGTCTATCGGATGCAGCCAGTTCTCCTTGCTCGTGGGACTTCTAGTCCATCAACCTGCTGTGAACTCCACGTGTATGAATACTGACCCATCTCCCAGGAGAAATACAGGATGAGGTTCCTGCAAAGCCTCTGGCCATCATTTTTGTTGAACAATCAATACATCACATTGTTTTATGTGTGTTTTCTATTTAGACGCCTTATTTAATGTGCATTCCTCACAAGTAATTATATCCACTATTTCTTTATGATAAAACCAGTTGAGAAAGAGTCTCACATTTCCCTGACCTTGGATAATAAGACCATAAATTTCTTGGGCTCTCAGCCCCATCACAGTGCCTTCATGTGCTCTTTTTATTAGCGGGTCATCTCGTGAATCTACAGTTAGCCACTTTTCCAATGTTTTCTCACACACTATACATATTACTTTAGCACTTTCCAGAGCAACCTTGTGTACAGATTGGCGAATTTCCTCTTCCTCTCTCTGGCTGTGCCATATTGTTGACTCATGGCCAACAGCTCTATAACTCACACCTACACAAAATATCTAACAGCGTATTTTCTCCACATGGCACATCACAGCCTTCTCGTGCTCAGAAACATTAGACAGCACTCCAGCACTGCACTTGGGGGTCATTTTATCACCCCACAAAGAGCACAAAAATGCCAAAAACATGGCACTAGAAGGATCACGCAAAGGATGCCTGCTTGCAGTATGAGAGCTGAGACAAGAAGGCAGAGTGTCTCCTTGTTGAAACTCCACTGGGATCATGCACGTTGAGTGACTCACATATTTCTGCCTCTCTGTGCATGCCCACAAATGCTTGCAAAATTACCACGAGTACTGACTTTAAGCTTGCACATAAATGTCAGCGAGTAGGCCGAGCCACAGATAATGGAATCCATGAATGACAAGGATCAGCCAGGCTTTGCTTACACAACACATCTAACAGGATGCTTTGGGAAATCCTGTCAGGTAGCTCGCCTCTTTGATTTGAAAACTCCCAGCAACAGAATTCGGCACTGCCACGTGGCAAAACATATATATGTATATTTTTTGCTTCTGTTTTCCAAATTTCCCTCAATAAACATGCACTGCTTTGAAACAGTTCGTTCTTCTCTAAAAACACTCATGCACAGATCTCTGTTCCCCCACCATCCCATCCTGTCTTCCTGCAACTTGAGCCTATCTCCTTTGGGTTCTCTCACATCCTGCCCTCCCGCCACCCAGTGCAGACCTCTTGGTCTCCACAGCATCATGCAGGGGAGAGGTCCATCTGCAAACTGGAGCCTTTTCAAAAGGAAACACGCCGAAGGAAATATCTGTAGCAACAAGTAACGTCTAGAGCATACAAGTGCTCCTAGGAAATAGAAAAGCATCCAGACCCCACAAGAAAAAGGGCACACATCAACCATTCATAGAAAAGGAGAAACAAGTAGGCAAGATAAACGTGGGGAGACGGTCAACGTTCATGCCGTTCATGGGAATTTATCCTCGAGTAATAAACCAGAAGAGGGAAAACTTGGACAGAGATGTCCATGCCGGTCTGAGGCGTAAAAGACAATGCCATGTGCAACCTGCAGGCTCAGTGGCAGGGTCTGCGCAGACGAATGATTGAGATGGCACGTGGCCTGAATGGAACACGGAAAGGCCAGTAAAAATGATCACGAAAATTACATGGCGACACAGAGAAACATTTGCAACGTGTCAGGTTCTAAAAGGTGGATGGCAAAATTACGTCTGGACCACCATGACAGCCTCATACATTATTCATGGTGAGTGCTGGAGTCTGAAGGGGAACACGGCGAAACCAAAAGAGCTCATCTCTGAGGGCGGTGGGAGCCATGGCGGATACTTTCCCCATACTCCCATTTCAGATTCCATTGTGACATCATCATTCACGCAAGGACGAAATAGAATGTACGCGATACTCTTCCAAGTGGCCATGACATAACTCCTCCAGCTTTAAAAGGAGTGTCAGAGAGGAGAGGGATGCCATGCAATTCTTCCCCCAGCAGAAGCCTCCCGCAGTATCCCTTCTCAAATGTGAATGGGGCATCTTATTGACTGTCGATTCAGTGGTCTTGCGGCGGGGCCGTCCAGTGGGGCCAAGGCTGCTGGCCCACAGACTGCGCTTCAGAAAGGAGGCTCTAGGTAGCTAAGCACTGGCCTTTCTCCTTTAGTTTTTTTTTTTGTTTTATTTTACCATAGCCTTAACCCCCGGCTATGCCACACTAACCGCGGATGGCCCAGGTAAAGGTCAGCAAGGGACTCATCCACCCTGGAAGCCTATTTGAGGCCACTCTTTTGTTGGCTCCCGCATAGTCTGGCTGTCCCCCACAGGGGCAGTGGGGTGGGGTGAGGGAGTAAGGGATTCCTTTGAGGAAGGCAGGCTGTGATTTGAAGCAAGGAGTTACCCCATTTCCCACTGTACCTCCTTCACACAATCTTCCTTTCAACATGATCCTATCACAGTGGCTCTTCTGGGTCAAATTTCAAAAGGTTCCTCATCTGGAGAATGGGTCACTTGGGTCTATGCGATGTAAAGATTCAGGTCACATCCACTCAGACATAGCAGAGTCCTGGGGTCCCATGTTCATCCAGGACCCTTGTCAGCCCTGAGCTGGGACTCACCAGGCCTTCCCCTCGAGGGAAGTGGTTTGCAAATGAATGAGTGAGTAAACCAAAAAAGCTATGCAATAATTAACCAGTTTAAATGAGCTTTTCCAGTGTCTTGGATAAGAGCTTCAAGGAGATACTCTACTTAGGGAAAAAAAATAACCCACTCTTCCCCTCAGTGCCCTCTCCCCTTCATGCTCTAACGATTATGTTCTCTTGACAAGAACCTTGTAAGGGCAGTCATTTGCTACAAAAAAGGCAGAGTATGTCGCCCACCCCGTGCAGCCCCCCTCAGTCCCCTGTGGCGCCACAGCCGCTCTTGGGCCATGAGTCCAACTCGGCCAAAGTGAAGAGGACCAGCGGTGCTTTGGCCTAGAGCCCAAACCTTAGATCCAGAGCCACCTGCTCTTGGGGGGGAGCGCCACACATCCACTAGGCAACAGCGGTCTCTCTACATCCCAAAGCCCCTGGTGTATGCACAGTTGCCCTGAATGCCAGGAACACCCTCAAAGTGAAGCCAACTTACATTTAATAATCTTTAAAAAAAGAACAAAAGGCATCAACAAGCAAGTGCCAGAAATCTAGCAGCGAGTGAATATGACTTATGTCCCAAAGACACGTTCTTAGCATATGTGTATATTTTTTAAACTCATGGACTCTTCTGGGGAAAAAATAATAATTAAGGCTTTAAAAATATAAAAGCGTTTCATTCTCATTTGCCCAGAGAATTGGCCAAAGAGAAGTTCCTAGGCAAGTGTAATAATCACATCTTCTTTATATATTCACAGAGGGTTTTTTTTTTTTGAAAAGCAGCTTTTCAAATGTAGCTATTAGAATACATGCTCACTTTGATATAATTAAAAGGAAATATAGTTATGCTTAAATCCACTGGCCTCATTAGCATGCATTTCTTCTCCAACACTTTGTCAAACCTTCAAATAATTATTTTCAATAATTATTTACAGCTAATTGGCCATAATGCCAAGCCCCTGAGCTTTCAGAAGAGTGTCACCGGGATACAGTGGCCCCTGTGAAATGTGCTCAGGTCACAGTCCCTTGTCACTGGGGCATCCAACGACTGGCTGCAGCATTATACATGATCCAGCAACCCCACATCCTTGCCAATGTCCTGTGGGCCTGAAGAAACCAGCTAGTGGGGGGATGGTAGTCACAAGAACCACCCGCAACCATGAGCAGATCCAGGGCAAGCGGGCTAGAGACCAAATCTCTCTGAGGTGGGAGGGGGGTGTCTTCTGGATGGCACCAGAACATCCACACACCTGCTACGTAACCGACCGGATGAAGAACTAAACGCACATTTGAGCTATGGGCTCTGGTATCTGCATGGGCGACACCAGAGCATCCTTTGCTCTCTGGGCCCCTATGTACCCCCTTCCCCGGGAACAGCCAGAGTCCTACCTGCTCTTGGGGCCACTTCGGCCTCTCCTCTGGAGTCCTGGACTTGGTCTTGAAGCCTCTCTGGGGGTCTCCGGAGTGCTTGGCCTCAGGAGGGAGGTTCAGTGACTTGGGTCTTCCCTCATGTCTGCTAGGGTCGTGGCTGGCCTCGCCGGGCGGGCAGGCCTCCGTGGAGTCCCCGGGCCCCGGCTCGGGCCCCCGCACCAGGGCATGTTCGGGGCTGGCCTCGCCGGCGCTAGTGATGCTGGTCATGCTCAGGCTCATCTTGATCTCGGCCACAATCTGGTCGATGTCCTCCTCCTGGTCCTCCAGGCCCCCGTCCCCACGCCTCGGACGATAGGGGGAGGCGTTGCCCGTGTTCCCGTTGGCCTCCGTGGGGTAGTAGTCCTGGTAGCCCTCCTCCCCAGGGCAGTAGTGGACACCTTCTTCCTGGTCCTGGGCCTCCAGGACAGAGGCCTCATCCTCCGGGATGGGGAGGTGGCCGTCCCGGAAGTCCGGGCTGCCTTCGTCCCCGTGGCCGTGTGGGCGCGGGCCTGCCGAGTCTGTCCACTCCTCCACCGCCTCCTGGCACTCGTCCGTCTCCAGGTGGCGGGTGCCGTGAGCCAGGTACCCCTCCCCGTTGCAGTCCATGCCCTCCAGGTAGCTGTCGTCCTCGGGGCAATAGCGGATGTAGTAGGTGATGCCCTCCTCCTCCTCGGGGAGGCCCTCATCGTAATCCTCCTCCTCGGAGGTGTTGTTCACGTAGTCAGAGCTGGAGTCCCCATCAGGGCTGTGGTCGTGGCACCCCTGGTCCGGGGGCGTGGGGCTCTCGGGCCGCAGGGTGGCCAGCTCCAGGCCCTTGGCCACATACTCCTCCAGGGGCAGCTCCGTGTCCTCGCTCTCGGGCTCCTGGCCATGGGGCATGGGGCCCGGCCTCGCCCTGTGGTCCAGCATGCTGCTCGCCGTGCTCTGACGCTTCCGGTTGGCCATGGCAGACGCTCACACGGCCATGGTCACCTGCAGGCAGCCACTGTGGGGAGGAACGTTGGAGAGGACAGTCAGAACCCCGCCAAGCATGGCCACCCCAAGAATCGTGCCGGGCCACGGGCTACCAGCCGCAGGACCCACTGGAGTGTTTCACCACCGTGTTTTCTCAGGGCAATGGTAATGCACATCTGTTCCAATAACGTGACATCCCCACTGCAGCCGCCTCATGCGTTGCGAATCATGCACGCCCATGTCCAGGAGAAGAGAGGACACGCAGGGCTGGAGGGAAAGGGGCAGAGGCGAGGCACCTGCCATTCACCAGGATGACCGCCCCTCTCCCAGAATCTCACCAGCTCATTCAGGACTTCTTAAAAACGCTCACCAGTTTGGATAGCCAAGGTGACAAGACAAAGAGTCATCAGATCAAGTTATTTGCTCTCAAAAAAAAAAAAGAGAGAAGCTTGCATTTAGAAGACATGATGAGGTCTGATGAGGAGGTACACTACCTTCCAACTCTAAATCTTCACTGTTCCCCAAAGGCCCACTCAAGTTCCCTCCCCTATCAGCTTGTCTCGCCCTCCCCAGTGCACAGACGCCTCTCCTTCCTCCTCCCTCTCAAACGGCATTCCCCCAGTGACCACCTCTGCAGGGAACTGTCCAGGCCGAGCACCATACAGAGAAGCTGAACCTGAGGCCTAGCCTCACGGGCTCAGCAGGCTGAGGGCACCGAAGAAGAGGGGGACACCAGAGGGAGGACAGTGCTGCCTGGCCACAGAGAGAAGGGGAGCACCCAGGAGAGGGCAGAGGGTGTGGCTACAGCTTGTGGAAGGTGGGTCGTGGTATCACGGGGCACCGCGAAGATCCTGCGCATCCAAACTGGGGAAGTCCTTCCTCCACCACCCAGGACTCTCTGCATTTTATCCCACAAACCACGCAGAGTCACCGGGCCACTTCCAGCGGATGCATGACACACAGGATTTCTCTTTTAGCCTCATCTCTCTGAGGCCAGCGTAGGAGAGATGCTGGGGGAAGGGAGACCAATGAAAAGTCTATGCCTGTGCTCTAGGGCAAGTGAGGGGCTGGCATCAGGGAAAAGGCACAGAAGATATCCAAACAGATGGTTAATGTCTTATTTCTTCAGCTGAGTGCTTACCCAGGTGTTTGCTTTAATCTTTTTTTTTTTTTTTAAGATTTTATTTACTTGAGAGTGAGAGAGAGAGAGAGTACAAGAAGGGGGAGGGTCAGAAGGAGAAGCAGACTCCCCACTGAGCAGGGAGTCAGGGCGGGGCTCGATCCCAGAACCCTGAGATCGTGACCTGAGCCAAAGGCAGACACAACCCACTGAGCCACCCAGGTGCCCCTATTTGCTTTATTCCTTAAACTGTACTTTTACATTACATATGTCTTGTTTTTGTTTGCATCATAGTTCATTTATTTTTTAAAAACGTATTCCTCTGTCCAGAGAGAAGAAATGAGAGCCTGTATCCGTGAAAATGGTCACAGGGGTAAATTTCATGATACATATGTTTTATCACAATTAAAAAAGTTTTTTTAAAGAAATGACAGCTTAAACTAAAGCAGTGGAAATGAGAGAGGAGAAATGACTCAGGGAGTATTTAGGCAGTGGAAGCAACGGGATCTGGGCTCAGCAGTAGAGAGTGGAGAGTGGAGATGGCAGGTCTGGCCCAGGCTCTACATTTTCTTTCTTCCACCTTATCTCCCCAGAAAAGTCCTAAACTAAAAACCCTTTGTACTCCATACTCCCCAGAGCACCCACACAGAATTTTGCTTGTAGCAGTGCCCAAAACACATTTTGCTATGACATTGGGTTTACCAGATGGCCAGTCACAGCATTATGAATATTCCCAAAAGAATGGAGGAGATAATTATTTCATCTGTCCAGACACTCAGAGTGTGAGCACCATTACTGGCTGAGCCACATGCTTCCAACATGTGAATTACAAAGGCTGTGGCTTGATAGCACCACTAGATGCTGAAAGATGCACAGTGCTTCTTCTCCAGAGCAGCCCACAGACTAGAAAGATACCCCACACCAGTTATATTATCACTGAGATGGACCCTGTCGAGGCTGAATGCCCTCACAAGTTACACTGTCCCTAAACCCCAAACTGTTGGGATAATTCCAGAGATTTGTTCCCAGGTAGGGATTAAGGTGCTCAGTGTTCACTAAAACACAGGTGCCCAGAGGAAGTACCGAAGGCCCTGACCTGCCCCACAACCACTTACAATTTTACAACAGATCTCTTACTTTTACAGAGGATAGCTAATGCCCGGGACACTGACTAATGGAACCTGGCAGTCACCTTCTTGTGGACACAATCTCTAGTAACGACATTCCCCAAAATAGTCCCGAAACACGCATTGACACTACAGCATCTCTGTACCTCCTCAGGCCATGCACACTGCAGTTTTCCACAGGCTTGTTAAAGAACAAACTCAGGTACACAGTACCTCTTAACTTCAAATTCCAACTTAAATTCAAATTCTGTCATTTGGGGGACAAAATCTACATGCATGCATAGACACATGTATGCCCATATCTACACATAACACCCTCTCGGCCAATCTTAGACTCAAGGACTAAAGTACATACACGACGGTAACATGGAACAGTCCCTGATCCTATAAATGAGTGACCCAAAGCAATCTATAATGTAAGGCTAGCCCAGCCAAAATCCCAGCAGAATATGGGGGACACTTTGACCCAATAATTCGTAAGTTCACTTGGAAGAATACACACATGAAAATAGCTGAGAAAGATCTAAAAATGAGAGTTAATGAAGAAGCACTTGCCTTACCAAGTATATATATATATGTGTGTGTGTGTATATATATATACACACACACACATATATATACACACACTCTGAAGTCATGGTAATTAAAATGCCATGGTGTCGTTGCTGGACAGACAGCAATGATACAGACGAGAAAGCCCAGAAACAGATCTGTGTTTACTCAGTTTTATCTATAAAATGTAGTTCACCTGGGAGTGAGGAGTTTCCCGACACAAAGAACTTTTAGTGCTAAAACCAGAATGGGTAGTCACCCTAAGGCAGGTGGGAAAAAAAAATTCGATTCAGTGGCAGGTATGGGGATCCTTGGGTGACCTAGTGGTTCTAAAACTTTGCTGCACATTGGAATCACCTGGGGGACTTTTACAAGGGCCAATGCCTGGCATTCCAAGTTCACTGGTATGAGGCATGACTTGGCATCAAGATTTTTAATGTGGAGCAAAATTTGAAACCCACTGGGCTAACCATTTAGGGGAAAACAAAGTTGCTTCCTACCTTATAGGGATATACTCTCCAGATAGAGTAGATTTCTAAATGTAAAGAATCAAGGTTTCCAGAGGATGGCTAGATTTGCTTGCATCAAGGGAAAATGGCCCCTCCCCTGGGAAATGTGGAACTCATGGTACCAGGGATGGGGTGCAGCTCACAGACCCAGGGTGTGTCAGAGGAAAGCACTTATGATAAGTCCTGTGGCACCAGGAGGTGTGGACATTTTCCCTTGAAGCAGCAGATTCAGCCCATTTCTGTCCGTACTTTAAAAATAGAGGAGTCCTGGGAGCACCCAGGAGAGGGCAGAGGGGTGGCTCAGTCACTGAAGAGTCTGCCTTTGGCTCAGGTCATGATCCCAGGGTCCTGGGATCGAGCCCCGAGTCAGGTTCCCTTCTCAGTGGGGAGCCTGCTTCTGCCTCTGCCTGCCATTACCCCTGCTTATGCTCTCACGCTCTCTCTCTAATAAATAAATAAATAAATAATCTTAAAAAAAAAAGAGGAGGCTCTCTTCTCACATGTCAACCACAAGGTCTAGATGGTCAACCCAGTTGCTGCCAACTAACCAGAAAATCATTCTCCCCCCCCGTACCTTCTAGTCCCTACAGTGAGAAATTTTTGTATGTACAACACTGGGTCTTTTCACTCAAGAAATATCTCCCCATTTATTCAAGTCTTAAATGTCTCTCAACAGCATTACGGGATTCTTCATAGCGAATTTATTCTTAGATTATATTATTTTTTGTGTGGCTGTGTGTCTCCCATTATATATTTACCTGGCTATTGCTGGTAAATAGAAAAAAATCCATACTGAGCTTGTAAAAGTCTATTTTTAAATTCTAATAGTTTTTAGTTAATAAATTTTGTTCTCCTTTTCAGCATTTGATCACCTCATCTGGCTGCATTGCCCTAGGCTTCTACTACACAGTTAAGTGATTAAAGGGGCATCCTTGACTTATTCCTAATGGCAAAGAAAACGTCTTTACTTCTTACCAGGGCTGGTCCAGGGTGAAGCATGGATGGCACTCACCTCAGTCACAAAATTTAACAGGGCACCAAAAAACTCAGGAATCAAAACAGAGAATTTTTTTTTTTTAAGAGAGAGATGGGGAGAGGGGCAGAGGAAGAGACAGAATCTTAAGCAGGCTCCACGCCCAGCAAGGAGCCCGACGCGGGGCTCAATCTCACTACCCTGAGATCCTGACCTGAGCCAAAATCAAGAGTCAGACGCTTAACCAACTGAGCCAACCCAGGCGCCCCACAAAGAGCAAATGTTTTAATGCAACACTTTAAAAAATAAAAATCAATGCAAGAATAGATGGTAAACAAAATATCGAAGCTTTAAATAAAGATCAGTATTATTGATTTTTCTTTTTGCCTCAGGTTCCCATAGGGCTCTGGCTGGACATTGTGAATGATTCTATTTTTTTTTCTCTTTAAATTTTTATTGTTATGTTAATCACCATACATTACATCATTAGTTTTTGATGCAGTGTTCCATGATTCATTGTTTGTGCCTAACACCCAGTGCTCCATGCAGAACGTGCCCTCTTTAATACCCATCACCGGGCTAACCCATCCCCCCACCCCCCTCCCCTCTAGAACCCTCAGTTTGTTTTTCCGAGTCCATTGTCTCTCATGGTTCTTCTCCCCCTCCGATTTACTTCCCTTCATTCTTCTCCTCCTGCTATCTTCTTTTCTTTTTTTTCTTAACATATATTGCATTATTTGTTTCAGAGGTAC